GCCTGGGTGGCTCAGTTGGTTAAGCGACTGCCTTCGGCTCAGGTCATGATCCTGGAGTCCCAGGATCGAGTCCCGCATCGGGCTCCCTGGTCGGCGGGGAGTCTGCTTCTCCCTCTGGCCCTCCCCCCTCTCATGCTCTCTCTCTCATTCTCTCTCTCTCAAATGAATAAAATCTTAAAACAAAGAAAATTTTAAAATAAATAAATAAATATAATGGCACCAAGCTAGTATACTTTCTCCTTGGTCTTTTTAAGATCCCACCCGGTGCCCCATATGTGATATGTACCTTTTCCACCAGAAACACTTTTCTCTTCCCTGAAACGGACACACTAAAGAGATGCAGAGGTGTTCTACTCTGTAGTTGGCTACTGGCTTTATATGCCAAACTGGAAATTGGAAGAAAAACTTAGGAACAGGGGTTTGGAGCTCTCTGGACCAATTAGTGTGAGAAGTCACTTAAAAACCTACTGATGATGTAACTATGATGGAGGCAAACTTCCCAGAAAACTATTTTCCCTTCTCACCTTTTTTTTACACTCTTAGCTGTAAGCCAGAATTTGGAAACGGGGTGATCTAACACCAACATAAAACCAGGATATATTTGAATTCTTCTCATTGCTGTTGAATCTGAGTCCCGAGAAGACGGGCTGTTGGCCAGAGTTTTTTCAGGACTTTTTTTTTTAGGCATATTTTCCTGAGCCACTGGTTTGCCTGTGATTTCTGCAACTATTTTAGGTGTCAAGGCATATTTGTCCCCTCTCCTTTCTGGCTGTTCTAAATGCAGAGTGTGGTTGTTCTTGCAAATACAGTTGACCCTGGCAAAACATAGAGGTTGCAACACCAACCCCCCGCACAGTCAAAAATCCACATATAATTTTTGACTCCCCAGAAACGTTAACTACTAATAGCGTACTGTTGACCAGAAGCCTGATAACATTAAGAGTCAACTAACACATACCTTGTATGTTGTAGGTATTATATACTGCATTCTTACAATAAAATAAGCTAGAGAAAGGAAGATCATAAGAGAAAATACATTTACAGTACTGTACTGTATTTATTTTTAAAAAAAATACATATAAGTGGACCCATTCATTCTGACCCCATGTTGTTCAAGGGTCAACTGTAATAAGAATCTAGCTGCTCTGTTGCCTACCGCCACACTCATGAGGAGGTTCCCCCATGAAAGAGTGAAGAAACTGGCAGAATCAGAGTGGGTCTTCAGGGGTGCACTCTGGTCCCAAGCAAATAGGTACTGCTTGTTTCATGGTGGAGGAAGCACAGTTTCATCGAGAAGGGCCACACATTGACATCTCTTTTGGAGTAGCCCCGGGAATGCTACCAGCTGAGCTGTTATGTGGTCCTGAGGTGCCCAGGGGCTCTCAGGGTGAAGTATGGTCTTCTCACTAGCCGTGGTTCCAAATCTGGAGAAAAACTTTAAGAAACTGTAAGGAAAGAAATTAAGGAATTGAAAGAAAGAGAGAGAGAAAGAAAGAGAAAGGAAGGAAGGAAGGAAGGAAGAGAAAGAGAAAGAAAAAGGAAGGAGGGAAGAAAGAAAGAGAAAGAAAAAGGAAGAAAGGAAGGAAGAAACCTTAAGAAGGTGCCTCAGGTTGGAAGGTGGTTGTGCCTGTTACAGAATTAGGCATTTTTTTTTTACCTCAAAATCACCATCTGTGTACATAATACCCAATTATGTGGGTAAGGTGCACATTTCGGGTGAGCCTCATTCCCTGGATGAGGTTTGGGGAGCTACAGCCCCGCCCTGCTGGGGACGAGTGTGGTCGGGGAGCACTCGGAGATAGTGCCGTCCTCTGATTAGGACATGCTTTGTTGGGTGACAGACCCATAGCATCTCAGAAACAAAGAAAAATGAACCATTTTCCGCCGAATACCCGGTACTCCTTGCCAGATTTACCTATAGATCTGATCAAAGCCGCTGACTAACACACTTCCCACAGGAGAGCAAGGGAACACCCGGAGGGTAAGGGAGAAAATCACTTCCTTCCAACTGCCTGAACACACAAGCTATTTTTGGTGTGAAAGCAGAACCTTTTGATTCTCCGGGGTAATCTAGGGAATAAGAAGTATTACAGGATTTTTTTTTTTTTTTTTTTTTTTTTTTTTAAGATTCCTGCTGTCCTTACAGATTGAAAAGTTAAGGAAACTAGAGGTAGAGGAACCGTGGAAGGAAGAGAGCCTTCTGTCTAGAGGTATTTTATTTCGGGGGCAGCTTTGAGACAAAATGCATGTTGGGAGGGGTTGAAAATGGAGTGAGTGGTCAAAATTATAGACTATTCCTGCTGGAAGGGACCTTCACCATGATGCCATCCGGTCAGTTTTTAAAGGAGGGAACTCAGCCGGGTGAGGGCAACGGCGAGCTCGGGGCTGGTCCTGCTGTCCGCACTCAGACCACCGTCGAGGCAGAAAAGGCCATCATGGGGGTGTCACCGTGACGGAGAGCAAGGAAGGCAAACCCCTAAGGATGGGGAACTAGCACAAGGCTTAAAGCAGCGGCTAGCCCAGAAGCTGATTTGCCAGACACACCCCAGCCAGCGGGCCTGGGGACCAGAAGGATCCTCACCGTAGGCCGGCTGTCCCTGTCACCGGAGACACTGCTTAAAGCATTGACCAGAGACTCTGATCACACTCCCCTGTCCCCCCCCCACCCCTCCCTTCTGTCCGTTGATAACAAATGGAGAATCAGACCCTTTGACACATTCCGCCGTGCCGAATGCAGAAAGGCCAGGAGATGGACCTGTTTCCCCCTGGCTGCCCTCTTGCTCATCACCTGGGTACTTGGTGGCTGAGGCTTAGTGTCCTTTGAGAGCCCCAGGTATAAGGGGTCTTGCTCTTCCGTTTTTCAGCCCAGGAGCTGGTGAGGGATGCTCCCCCTGCTCTCTCAGCCTCTGCTAGAGGGAGGCACAGAGAGGAAGTGAATGTACAGCCCTAGACTTCAGCTGCCCCCATTGCTGACTATACACTTGAGAGGAGAAAAGGTTCCTCCTGGAGAGTGTGGGATGGGGGACCCATGGACCCCAGGGTTCCAGAACCTGCTGAGATCAGCTGCGATCAGGATCTCCCGTCTTCTGGCTGCCTGGCTCTCACTTGCCGCCCTTCTGACTGGGAGGGGAGAATACACGGGTGTGTAGAGTTGGCTGGCCTGACCGTGCCACTGCGGCTTGGTTTATAATCAGCCTGGCCTCCTGGAAGGGTATAAATCACTCATTCAGCCTTGCTGGCAGGCGCCCCACCTGTCATTAGCAACGCAGGGTGAGGTGGGAAGGAAAACTGTGATCTTGTGAAGCCACTGGGCAGCAAGAGTGCTTGCCTAGTGCAGATGTGGGAACGTGAGGAGCACTGTGCTTTCTCCGGGGTCTGGGAAGAAAGAGAGTAGAGCCAGGGAAGGTGTTGGCGTGGGGCCCGACTGCCTCCCTGTGCCGCGCAGGCTTCTCCCTGCACGAGCCTGTTGGCCCCCGGCTCGTGCGTTCATCAAGCTGCATGCATCTACCTTACCGTGCTGTGAGCTTTGCGTTTGGGGTTGTCCTGGACAGGAGGCCTCTGCTGTCAGCTCCCTGACTCTGCTCTCATCAGTGAAGCTGAGGCACAGACGTCCGTGCCCGCTCTGCCCAGGGCAAGGGGAGCCCTGATGACGTGCGCATGCCCCTTGCTCCCCGAGAGGGACCCTCCTCCCTATGGGGTATCCCAAGTAAGGAGACCCAGCGTTGATCCGAGGGGCCTGGTACCCATGCTTGTTCCTCGGGGGCCCCTTCTGTCCCCACTTTGGTTAAAGAAAGCAGAGGGGGCCTCAGTGTGGGCAGAGAAAGTTGTTAACTCTGCGGGAGCAGTCCTAGAAAGATCCTGTGCATTGACACAGAACTCACAGTTTGCTTCCTTGGGGGTCTTTCACAGCGTGCCTGGGGCCCATGTTTGCTGTAGCTCTTGCCTTCCGGTCATTCTGCTGAGGTGGGGAGAGGTGTAGAGAGACACCGCATGCCCCGCCCTTCGGATGACACAGCTTGGGGAACTCCGTGAGGGGCGCATGTCCCCGTGCCTCTGTCCTTGAATGTAAGACCCATATTTCTCTGACTTTTTAACCTTCGGGATACTGGGAGGCATTTTACGACCTATGAATACTTCAGTTATTGCCCTCAAAGCTGCTATCAAAAGAGTGGGGACATCCTCCAGTCAGTTCTGAGAGTGAAGGAAATGAGGACTATTTCAGTTTGCCCTTTCCCATGCCCAGTGGCTCTGCCTTTTTTCCTGCCTATTTTTACCTGAACTCCTGTTTCATTGTGAAACCTCCATTTTCTATGCTGATATAAAGCGTGAAGTCCAGTCTTCATCCTGTCTAGACTGGCCCTCCAGCTCACCGTCTGTGATGCTTCTGAACATCTCCATGCTCTGGGGGTGGGGAAGGGGGCTGAGGCCGTGATGGAGTCTCCCCCAGGCTGCCCCCCATCAAGGTCAGCATCCATGTGCCCCACTCTGGGAACTGGGGGTCTAGGAAACACTCGTTTTCCCTAGAGATCTGTTTCTTCGTTTATAAAGTCACGTACCTCTGCCTTCTAAGATATTTCTGGGTCTGCCCTGCCCCCCAAGGCACCAGGGTGCTTGTCAAAACCCATAGCAGTACACACTGAAAAGGGGGAATTTTGCTGTAGGTAAATTGTACCCTCTGTTAACCTGACTTTCAAAAAGTCCATTCAAAGCACAGGTTTGCCATTGTTGTTGCAGGCATTGCTTGCAAAATGTTGGAAACAACCTAAGTGCCCATCACGAGAGGATCGGTTAAATACATTATACTTGCATGGATGATATGGGATCGCTGTTAAAGAGAATTGGATAGATCTGTACGTCTGATGTGAGATATCTTCTTTGTGTAAATGTGTGCTGTGCATTTGTTTGGGTTGTTTGGTAAATCTCCAGAAGGATCCCTGGAAATTACCAGCCGCAGTTTCCTCCGATGAGGGGGACAGGGTGCTAAGGGACACGGGAGGAGGAAGACTTCATTGGCACCGTATACCTTTCTTGCATTGTGGATTTTGTTCGTTGTGCGTCTGTTGTCTCTAGAAAATGGATACAAATAAAATGAAGTGCTTTGACCTCGGGGCCCCGGAACCGATTGGCATTGGCCGCTAGCCTGATTGTTGCTATTTCTCAATTTCAGGCCCTCCATCTGAGCCAGCGCACTCACCCACCAGCAGTGGGAAGAAGCTCTTTGCTCCTGTTCCGTTCCCTTCGGGCTCCACTGAGGATGTGTCCCCCAGCGGCTCCCTACAGCCCCCGCCTCTGCCCCAGAAGAAGTTAGTGAGCCGGGCAGCCTCTTCACCCGACGGCTTCTTCTGGACCCAGGGCTCCTCCAAGCCAAGAACAGCAAGTCCCAAGCTGAACCTCAGCCACTCAGAAACCAACGTCTGTGCCCACGAAGAGCCCCACTTCAGCTACTCCTCGAGCCCCGGGAGCCGCCATCATCATACCTTCTCCTCTTCTGAACCCCTGGAGAAAACTTTCAAAGGCAACGGCCACTGGGTGCCAGTGCCAGGGCTGGCGGGCAGCAAGAGCGGGTGCGGGAGCCCCAGCCTCCAGTGCAAAGGGGTCCCCTCGGCCTCGTCCTCCCAGCTGAGCGTGTCCAGCCAGGCATCCACCAGCAGCACCCAACTCCAGCTCCACAGCCTGCTGAGCAGCATCAGCAGCAAGGAGGGCACCTATGCCAAGCTCGGGGGGCTCTATGCCCAGTCCCTGGTCCGCCTCACGGCCAAGTGCGAGGACCTCTTCATGGGCGGCCAGAAAAAGGAGCTGCACTTCAACGAGAATAACTGGTCACTCTTCAAACTGACCTGTAACAAGCCCTGTTGTGACTCGGGGGATGCCATCTATTACTGCGCCACCTGCTCCGAGGACCCCGGCAGCACCTACGCTGTGAAAGTAGGTACCTCCCCGCCCTCCCCCCACACCCTGCTTCCATTCTGCACTGCAGCCAGCTGGCCCCGGCTGTGACCGGGCTGTAGGCACAGGCTTGAAGCCTGAGCTTCCTGCTAACACTTAGTGCTCACCGATTTCTCCCTCAGCCCGGCCTGGGACACAGTGTGGTGAGATTTGTAGTGTGAATGTGACATTCGTCCTCTGCATTCAGGAATGAACCTGTGTCATCTAGTTGGAAAACAAGTTGACTTAAATTTAAGGCAGCAGAGAGTTCACTCATTTATTCATCACACTTTTACGGAGGGCCTACTGCATGCCAGGTATTTTGTAAAGATCTGAGTCGATAGAGGTGAACATAAGGTTCCTATGGAGCTTATAATCTAGGAAGGGAGATAGCCAATGAAGATACTGTTCTGCACATGTTAGAGCTGGAGAGAGCTAGGCCTAAGCATCATCTTGAGCAATGAGAGTAATTGCATCGATTAAGCATTTGCTATGCAACAGGCCTCTCGGGTGTATTCACTCCATGACCTCACGGTGTCACAGTGCAGATAGGTTTTACAGATGGGGAATCAGAAGCGCAAAATGATTAAGTAATCTGCCCACAGCCAGCTGGTGGCTGAGATGGCTGCGAATGCTGCTTTGTTTTGCCTGCAACACCTCTGCTGCCATCCTGTCAGTTAAGAAAAAGGAAGTTCCGAGAAGTTAAGTGACTAGCCCAAGGTAACACAGCTCCTGAATCTTTGCCACCAGATCAGGGCTGTTGCTACCCGCACCCCCCCCCCCCATATTGCCCTCTCAAGACGTGGCTCTCAGCAAGCTGGCCAAGCTGTCTGCACCCATCTGGCCACTCTGGTCTCCGACACACACTCTGGTCCTTCCAGGCGGCCCCTTCTCTCATCTTCTTTGGCATCCCTTGAATACCTGGTGGTTCTGTAGCTCTTCTATAAATGCAAGCTTTTGGTGAGCAAGGAAGGAAATGCTGAGCTCTTTTCTTCTATCACCTGTCCCCAGATATTCTTTCATTTCCAGTTAGAAAGAAATGCAAATAGTGAACTAACATGAAGTGGTCTGGGGAGGAAGGGTAGCTTCCTGCTTACCAGTGGAGGTTTTTTTTTTTTTAATATTACGATTATTGGCCAAGGAAAATGGCAGTGACTTTTACTTTGAGCTTTTTCTCTGAAGAACTTGGTGACACAACCATAAAAGATAGATGGGTAACCCCTGAGTTATATGTTCAGGGGCTATATATAGTTATTTGCTGCCTTCCTAGGAAAAAACAGGGTGGTGGGAGCTGTACGGCTACAAGGAGGGTCCAGCCGATGGTCCAGAAATCAAGGCCCCCAAAGACGAGGCGGGAATGGCTAAGATGGCAGGGGCTAGATGGAGGCAAACGCCAACGTCCTGTGGGAGAGAGTGTGCGTTTCTTGAATCTCATCATCTCTTTCTATCTAAACCCAGCAGCTACATTCTTTTTTTTTTAGATTTATTTATTTATTTGACAGAGAGACAGAGAGAGAGGGAACACAAGCAGGGGGAGTGGGAGAGGGAGAAGCAGGCTTCCTGCTGAGCAGAGAGCCTGACGTGGCTCATGACCTGAGCTGAAGGCAGATGCTTAACCAACTGAGCCACCCAGGCGCCCCATGGTTTTTATATTTCTAAGTGCTTGTCGTGGGCAGCTCGGATCTAGGACCTCCTATAATAATGCAGAGTTAGCCACGTTCTCTGCAGAACAAAGGAGAACATCCAGCTTTCCCAGAGGAGGTAAAAAAACAAGCGTCCCTCCTCATTTCATTAGAAATGTGAACCAGAAGGAGACAGGAAGATAGGCCCTGGCCCTCTAAGGAAAACAGTCCCCGGGTGTCCTATTTGACTTTGCCGGAGACTTGGCAGCTCAAGGACTATCTCTGTCATGTACGGAAAGGAAATTCGGAGAAGAGCTTCAAATATTCAGAGTCTAGAGAACAAGGGTATCAATCTGCAAGCGCGCCTGGCCTGGTAATTGTGGGGCGGGGGCTTTTGGAGCATCCTTTCCCACGTGCAGCTGGTCCACTTCATTAGCGCTGCAGTCTAGACGGAATACAGTCATCTGGAAGCCGAGGGACGGAGCGGTACCCCCTCCCGCGCCGCCGCCCTGTCGCAGGCCTCGCTTCATCTGTGCCTGGGAAGCAGGAGCCTTGCTGGCGAGTCCCCGTTAGCCAAAGCAGGCTCGCACCTGCTCCCACTAAACACCGGGCCCTCCTGTTTATGGGCTCAGCGCCCTGCAGCCGCCAGGAGATTAAAGCCAGCTCTTGAAGCCCTGCTCCGGGCATACGTGGTAGGGGAAAAAGAAAAAAAATCATCAGCTGTGTGTGCGTTTTCAGAGCTGCTGTATTCCTCAGCCACCTCCAACCCCAGTTGGGTAATTAGGGACCTGTGTTAAGCCAGCTGGGCCTTCTTTATTTAACAAACGTGACTTCGCCCAGATTTTTAACCACTAATGAGGCTGTGGCTCCAAAGTTTAAAGTGAGACTTGGCTCAGCAAAACGTTTGAAAGTTGAGCTGAACCAAAGGTTTGTGTGGTCTTGCACCAAAACCCGAGCACAAACTCCCTGAAAATGAGGTAGAGGGGGTGAGGGTGGAGAAGAAGCCTCCCCGCCCCTGCGCCCCTTCCTCTACCCACCCCCACCATGCAGCACCCTAAAAACGATCTCAGGGGGAGCCCGCCCACGCCCCCCCCAGCTTTGCTGACTCTCAGATGCAGGGCACAAGGAAGCTGCGACTGCTAGCAGAGGACCAGCTCACTGATTTTGAAATGCATCCAGCCCAGTTGCCATTTACTCTGCTCCTTCATTTACATGTCTGTGCAAACTGTCAGTGGTGTTTGCTGGACCCAGGTTTTTGATAGCCTTGAGAAAAGGGATCCTTGGAAACACTTCCCAGGCCCTGGCCAGCTGTACCGTCCAGGTTGGTACAATAACCTGCAAGCCGGCTCTGCATGGCCTCACCACAGGGCTCCAGCAGAACAATCACCATAGCAACCTTGTCCAGTGAGTGTTCACCGTGGGCTGGTCACTGGGCTGAGAGCCACGCCTGCCTTGTGTCATGGACTGCTCACGGTGGCCCCAGGGGGAGAAGGCACCTATCACTGCCCCGATTGCAGAGGAGAAACCAGACTGACACGTCAGGTCGATCCTCATTCTTTGTGGACTCTGTATTTTGGAATTCCCTCACTAAAATTTATTTGTAACCCCAAATCATTTTCTGTGGTTGCTGCCCGCACAGAGTAGGGGGAGATTTGAGTCACCCGAGGTACGAATTCCCAGCCCAGGTGCGACAAGGCAAGTCTCTGGCTTCCTTTCTCAGCGCTCATCTGTGAACAAGTGTCCTTGTTGTGGTCTCTTGATTGCCTCGTTCTTCCTACGTTTGTGTTTGTGTTGATGATTTCACCGTTGAAAATGACCAGGCTGAGCGCTCCCTGGTATTCCTGAGTGCCAGAAGGTTGCAATGTGCTTCTGGGCGGGTGTTAGGTAAGCTTCATTCGGGCCTGAGTTACAGTGCCGTCGGCCATGAGTTCTGGGTTAGCGAATCAACAATATCTGCTGCTAAGGCGTCTTTAAACAGAAACACCCACAAAACGAAGTTATGTACTGGCCCCGTTGGTAAAAATGTTGTGACCAGACGCTTGTAAGAACTCTGCCTTCTATTTCCCTTCGGAGCAGTGGGTCAGTATTCACTCATAACGTGTTCGTGGCTGCTTAATAGAACATAACTACTGCAAATCACAAGAATCGATTGCAACTTGCCAGTGTTTGCAGAGTTCGGAGTTAAGCCAAGGTCTTTTTCACTCCCAAGCGCATACTTTTGGCCCCCGGAACACATCTCACTGGTACAGTCTTGGACAAATAATTTAACCCCTCGGAGCCTCCGTTTCCTCTTCTGTAGCAGCCTGTACTTGCTCCTTCCTCATCGGGTTATCTGAGATGTACCGAGACACTGTGAAAAATGCTTGGTAGGCACAGTGCCTCACATGCAAGTTAGGCAGGTGTCTGTGGTGGCCGAGCAGCTCTCACGGGAGGAGAGTGACCTCGACCTCAGCAGCGCTTTGCCCACATCGCCCCAGTTGGCATGGCAGACAGGTCTGTACACAGTGGCTGGGATCGAGATGCAAGACCACTTTTCGAGGACTGCAAAGTCCCTTTC